AAAAATTTTATATTTTTATAATTTTATTTATACAATAATACGAGTCAAATCGGAATAAAATCGCGACCCCGTGACACGTATGGGCTCGACCCGGATGGGTTAGCTGGCGGGCCTGGATTGTAGTCCAAAATTTGTGGGCCGACCCGAAACCGGCCCGGAACCCGTAGCGGGTGGACTTTTTTTCACACGAGCCGTTACCGGGCTCATATGTTGGCGGGCCGATTCAGCCCTGACCACCCGAATTGACACCTCTCTCAAGCAAGATCGATGGTTTCATTGTGACTTTTTCTTTTGGTATTTATATTTATAGCAAGATATATATAGCCCCCGTTTGATTTACATTATTATCTCATTAAAATAAAAAAATATGATCGTTATCTATCACATCAACATTTAAATTTAAATTTTCTATCTCTTATGTAGACCCCAGTAACGACTATATTTTTCATTCTCATTCTACAATAATTTTAATTTGGTTCAAATAGGACCATAATTTTTTTGTATTATCATCTTTAAAATATGAACACATTTATAATCAAGTAAACTGGGATGGGTCGGGAGTGGCAATACCTTCCGCATCCACCGAGGAATTTTACGTGGTAGCCAGTTCATTACGACATTTCTGAACAAATTTCTAAATGAAACTCTATCTCCAATGATCCAAAGATCCGAATCTTCGCCTAAAGGCAGAGCAGGGGAGGACTTTTCACCGACCCATCTTTTAAACGATTTTCTTGATAAGCCTATATTTGGTAAAATTATTTATTTATTTCAATTTTTATAATAGAAATGATGGCGATCCCAATTAAGTGGGGAATTCATGCTGTTCGAGGCGGGTCTCGAGGGATCGAGTACAACAAGAATTCTTGCCATCTCTAATGTGTATAGAAAGATATACAGCTAAATCGCGATTGAAAATCGGACCACAATCTAAATCTAAGTCTGAGTTTTTCTCATATTGTTTTAATAATTTGCCAGAAATAAAGTAAATAGGAAAGAAAAAAAGGTGAAACCATTTTCACTAAAGCCACCAATCGAAATCTAAATCCCTAAAAAAGAATATTTTGAGGCTCAGATCTGTTTTTTTGATCGGACACGAGAAAGGCGTACCCGCCATGGCTGCAAATCACCGGTTGCGTGCGGAAGAGGGAGTAGAAAAAACCTCACATCACACGCCGTCCGGATTGCCTAGCCAAGATACGGGAGATTCATCTCTTTGCCCGATTCATTAGCTCAGAAGGCTTAAAGAAAGAAACATCATCACAGCCTCTTTACTTGCCAACACTTACTCCAAAAATTGCAGTGGAGATTGACACAGATATTAATAGGTTTGGAACCGCAGTGCAATTATCCCATTTCTGTACTCATTTAGCCCCTGTTTGAGAGAGATTATACATACACACATACACATACACACAGATGTATACACTGGAAGGGCTGTTTTTGCTTTGTTGATGGAGAAATCATTGGGTAAAAGGAAGAGGTAAACCACCCTCAAGAAATTCCCAATCTTCCTCTCCCCTCATTCTTCCTTACTGAGCTTAATCTTTTCTTTTGGTATTTGATAGAAGGTGTAGCTTTCAGCTTTGTCTTTATGAAGGGATCCGGATTCCCTTTTTACCCTCGTTTGACTACTTTTTTGCTGCCCTGATTTTTAATTAATTATTTAATTAATAATGACAACGTTAGGTTCTAGAATGATCCAAGATTCTAATATCACGGTCTTAAGGCTGTTAGCCATCCACGTTTTCACCACAACATATATTACCTTAATCAGCAAGCAAAAGCTCCTTATAAAACGCAGCGAAAAATAGTTCAAAAGATCCATAAATCCAGAGCTTTTCGCATTTCTGTTTACCCAAAATCTGAGCAATGGCAGAGGAAAGAATGACCGTGGTTAAGGGTTTAGATGTAGCGAGGTACATGGGAAGATGGTACGAAATCGCTTCATTCCCATCAAGAAATCAGCCCAAAAATGGGTCCAATACAAGGGCAACGTATACTCTGAACCCTGATGATGGCACTGTTAATGTTTTGAATGAGACATGGACTGATGGGAAAAGAGGGTTCATTCAAGGCACTGCTTACAAGGCTGATCCCAGTAATGATGAGGCTAAGCTCAAAGTGAAATTTTATGTGCCCCCTTTTTTGCCCATTTTTCCAGTCACTGGCGATTACTGGGTTTTGTACATTGATTCTGATTATCAGCATGCTTTGGTTGGCCAGCCCAGCCGGAGCTCTCTTTGGGTATGGATTTTGACTAATATGCAATCTATTTTTGAACTGTTGGCATCTATACCCCAGTTTCTTCTGCAGTAATTGTTGATGGTAGATTAATCTTATTATTCTTAAAATTCTCTTGAAGCCTACAAGATGATTAACTCTATTTTTAAGCTAAGATCCAGAATTTATACCTGCTCGGTGATTATAAGCACCTAAAAGCTTTGTCAATGTATTTGTTTTCAGATTTTGTGCAGGAAGCCTGATCTGGATGAGGGGACATACAAGGAGCTTGTAGAGAAGGCTGAAGCTGAGGGGTATGATGTGAGCAAATTGCACAAGACACCACAGGCTGATCCTCCACCAGAGAGTGAAACTGCACCCAATGACACTAAAGGAATTTGGTGGATTAAATCCATTCTAGGAAAGTAGTAGGAACCATCAATTATTCATTAGTCAGTCAATATCTACTATATATAGAATAAATGGCAGAGCCCTTATGCTTTACTATCTTGCTGTTAGACCTTGTAAGTTTCTTTGTTCCTTTTTCAGATAAAAATGTGATAATTTTCAGGTTTGTTTTTCTGAATACCAAAAGGGTTCTAATATATGAGAAAGTGGTTTTAATTTGGTCAAAAATGTGTCTGCTCCATTGATGTTACAGCAATTCTAGGAAAGCATTTATTGTTTTGTTTACTTTTTGCCCAAGCAGAAAGAAACGTTGATCGAAGAGAATTACAGAAACTCTTAACAATCACTATTTTATCCAAAAGGAGATTTAAGGACGAAAAATTATGGAAAATAGTGTACATAAATGCATGAATTTAAAATGGTTTTACATAGAAAATTTATTAAAGTTCACATTTGAACAGTTAAAATAGAATTTAGGTCGATGAGCAGTCGGACGACTTTTCAGTTACCAAAGATGCAGGATGACCCGATCCCTTCAACGCTTTCGAATTTTGGAGATACAAGTCCTTGAAAATTTAATTTGCAAACACAAATAGTTACGTTGGTCGGTCATAAAATAATATTAAGCATCGTGTGATTTAGCGCAGTGTAAATCAAAATCAGCGTGACTTTTCATCACAACCCTTGATCAAAATTTAATTTTTATCTAAACCAAACAGAAGGCTTTTCAAAATTTCACGTTAATTACTAATCTTAACTCTATTTGCTCCCAAAGATTTCATGCTGTTTGTACCTTTTTTCAATTAAATCCACTCGTCCCGAGTCACTAAAACCCTTCACATGAGCTACATCCACATCTCTAAATATAAGCTATTCATGTCTATGGAGTTCTCTAAATCATAAATTATACATTAATCAAACTCAAACACAACAAATTTCACCAAGGGGGCAAAGGGAAAAATAAGAAATAACAAACAAAACAGCTATAAACAGGAACAAAATGAGATCTTAACACACCACATCACAAGTATGAGCAAAACTCCTGTAAATACAATCCTTACTAAATAAATATAATAGGAACATTGCCAATTTGCCAAACCATAGATTCCATAGGAGAGAAAGAATTACTAATCCCCTTTCTGTCTCCAAAATCATTTACAAAATGGTACAACATTGATTGGTTTTCTTTGCTTGTTTGTAGAACATCTGTTTCAACAGCACCAAGGAAATTCAAGTGTCAGCATGACCAAACTAAGTTCGAAGTTCAAATCAATGGTAAACAGAAAAATATCTGTTCACAAATTCTGAATAAAACATAAATTCCAGTTCATGACTGGTATTACAAAGAATACACGTTTTATGAGCTTTTTATAAGAAAGGTAATTTATTGGAAATGTGCTCTGAATAAATGCATTGCATGGTAAAAGATTACTGAGGAAAGTTTCAGCTAAAACTCTAAACATGTGGGTTCTCATTTACAGTATTCAGCTGGACTCCACATAACTTTTAGTCTCAATGATTTAGGGGTTAGTTATTAACTTTTTACGACTTATTATTTCTGCTATTGAACCATGGTCCACGAAAGAAAATGTGCTATAGTTTTTATGGAAATAAAACTCATTACCATTAACAATTGTTAATTATAAAATAATTGGGCCAAGCAGAGTTTTTATGTACACTCTCGACTGTTAGAACTCTTAGACACCCGTTTTTACCAACTCATAGAAAGCAGTGGCAGAACTGGCCAAATAGTTTCCTCCTCAGCTTGCTTTTTAATCGCGTTGACTACGAATTTTAATGTGAGGCTAGTGTCAAACAGTAAAAGCATAGTTGCCCATCCAAAGAATTTCTACCAATAAAAAAAGGAAAGAAGACCCAGAGACAAATGCTCAGTAGTGAAACTATTACAACCCTGTCATTCATGTATTATTTACTCAAATTTTTGAAAAAATATTTCGAAAAGCTGGAAAATGTGTGTTCTTGAATCTTCATTTAACCATAGCCATAAAATAACAGTTATATATAGATACCTGAGAAGCAGCACTAAGATCTGAACTCTTATCGACCAAGCTATCTAGCTTCTCACCTCGAGCCAGGACACTGTCGATCGTTTTATGCTGAGTCAAAATACAAGATAAAGAATTAGCACAAGTAATGATGCAAAGCTAACAAAGAAGAAAGAAGAAAATGAAACACAATGAACGGATTATACGCCAAGATGCATTCAATAAATAGCAACACTTGACCATTGCAACTACCAATTTTGAGTTGTAAATTCAGAAACACACACACCAAAGAAAAAAAAAAAAGAATCAGCAATATAGCTATAACATGCACCTCTAGTCTTGCAGCCCATAATCCATCTATAAGATAATGTCGTATCGTTGGTCAACTCCACAAACAGTAAGTGGGATATGTATAAGGCAACTCAATCAATCCAAATAAGAAATGGTAAGCAAGCCATTTATAAACAACCTAATTTCATATTTGGAAGCTTCATAACAGTCAACAATCAACACATGTTTTATAGCCTGAAAGTGAGAAATTACAATTTATCCATTTATATGATGTCACGTATCTACATCAAACAGGATATTGCTGATTTGAGCTCATTTATTTGTTCGGTTAGGTGTATTAGACCTTTCACTTTCTTTCTTTCTTTTTATATGTTTGGCTAAGCTTAAATGGTGTTTGAAAGCACCGTTTCTTTACACTTCCCAAAAATCACCTTTCCAGGCTTAGTCAAAACACATTATTTTGTTTATTTCCCCCCTTTCAACATAAGGAGGAAAAAATTCTGGCGTTTGGCGGGCAATGTCTGCAGCTTCATATGACAGAAGAAGGCTATTACTAATAATTAATAATCATCTCAAACACCAAACATCCCATCATGATCAGCCTTGAATATCTGTTCTCCAATATGCTAATTTACTCGGAGAAAAGAGAGACAAATGACATTGCCAACTCTAAAGCTGGTTCACACAAAAGATACTGACTGTATTTACACACATAAGACAACGTGGTAGGTAGCTGATATGTGTCACTAGGATGAAGTAATCATGACCACATATTGACTGAACACTCAATGATCAAATCAAAATATCACTAACATGTAAAAAAATTATTATAGCAAACCTATCAAGACCTGCATAAGTATGAAAGCTACTGCCGACAAAGGCTAGCGAAGAAGTCTTATGCACAGAAATATTATATAATCTCACATCCTAAATCTGATATAAGCCTTTTGTTTCTTTGTTAACCTTTCCTTCCCCACTTAGGCAAGATTGGAAAGGCTTTATAGTATCAACTCTTTCGTTGTTATCGAACTGGTAAATCAATTTACAACAATAGTCGAATGACATAAATCACAGGAACAACACAAAAAAGAGGAAAAGAGTTTTAAATATGGAGGAAACAAGTAACTCACAAGAATAATTTTGGTTTCATCCAGCTCCCTCTGAATTTTTAACAGCTTATCAGCCTCAGCAGGATCCTGAAGAGTCGGAGCATAAACAAATTAAGTTGACAGCTATTATCTTATTCACCCACATAACATATGTGGCACCTATTATCTTATTAAGAAAATAGAAACGTATCCATTTTCTAACCTAATAACATAACAGAGAACTTATATACCTGAAATTTAGCTAGAGCATCATTTAAATAGGGCCATGCTTCAGTCTTATCAGCTTGCACAGTTTTCCAGGAATTGCCGAAATTCTTTTGGTATTCATCCAGAACCTGACAAATATTAATCCACAGAAACTTGCATATTAATAATTATTCACAGTAGCTCTGCAAAAAATAATATTTCACCAATGAGGTACAGCTACCTGGTTGAGCAATGAAAATGCACTTCGAACTGGGTAATGGTCATCCATTAAACCCAATACACATAAGCCATTTTGGTTGTACGCATGTACCTTGTACTCTGTTGCACGAAAGAAACAAAGTAAGATGTCAACCTCTAGCGATACATGAAAAACTTGCAAAAGCAATACAATTATGTCATAGAGAATTGAACAGAAAAGGACAGACCTTTCAAGCAAGCAATTTTGACATCTACTAATTCAATCAAAATTTTTATATAAAATAGAAACCGAAATCAGTCTGAATCTACCAGATATGTTGTGGGCAAAAATCTACTGGCGTTGGTACTTGGTAGATTGCAAGAACTATCATCTTAAAATATTCCCAATATTTATAAACACAATACAGTAGTATATTCAACCGAACAACGGGAGCCCTAAAAGCAAACTATATATCAAACCTTTCGCTGAAAATCAACAAATCGTCTCTAATAGACTTCAAAATCTCAAAAAGATCCCTGCAAATCACACATCGCATTCCAACATTAGATTTCATGAATACACAAGTTCATCAACAACCATTTCCCCTTGAAAGCTGAAGCAGTTTTGCTCTAATGGCCAATTGAAAAGCGCACTCATAAACCACAAGATCTCAACAGGCAGTTAATAACTTGTCATTGAAAATCTAGAGACCAATCTATGCTTGGAAGGATAAATTCAAATAATTAATGCGTACCAGAAGCCATGACTCATTTTTCCTATTCCAATTCCAACGCCCCATTTTTTGCTGCTACTTGTCATATCTATACTCCACCATCTCATTTTAAGTTCACATAACAACTCCTATGAAATCAAATATCTCACTCATACAGAAGCCTATCGAACCATTAATTTAACAACTAAACAATATCATTACCGCCGACGCCTAAATAAATAATCATTCATTGTTTAAATACACAACTTTAATATAAATCAAAATAATAATAGAACCAAATCAGTTTTCGTTAAATTATCATCAAATATCTGACAATCATCGCATATTACTACCCCTATCACAAAGAAAATTTAAAATTCTCAAAATTTATGCTCAAAAAACTTCCATACATACGTCAAGAATACATGAAATCAATCAAAATCGATCAAAAACAAACTAAAAAGTAAATAAACTAAGTTTTTTTTTTTTTTCTGAAGAAGAAAAGGAGAATTGCACTGCAATCAAATATATAGAGTTCACCACAAAACCTCAAAGAGATGAAATCTCATGTCTAAACACCAGAAAAAAGCTATTGGAACAGGATCATGCATAATCCAAATAAACAACGATATTCAAGAAACATGAAATGCCAAAAAAAAAAAAAAACAGAGAAATAAGGATCGGACCTTCGTGCTGCACCGACTGGCGTTCGCCGGGTGGGGTCCGCTTAGCGACGGTCCGGGCCACAAAGACAATGAACTCTTTGACGCTGGGCCGCTGGAAGAAGCCGAACCGGGTTACATCCGATGCGTTGGCCAATATCACCGGATCCGAACCCTCCGGGCTGCATTTTAACACCAACAACGCCGTGATCTGCATCCTCCCCCTTCTTCCCGAGTCTCTATGCGTGTATATATATTTATATATCTATATCTATAATAAGTAACAAAATAAAGAAAGCTGTATATATCTCTAAAATTTCACTGCTCAAATCTGTGAGAAATGGAAAACCCAGAAATACAGGAGATGGAACAAAATTCGTCTGGCTTTATACATGTAGACCAATATCTGTATGCTTGAATTCGCTCAAATTCATTGGTCGCCACCCAACTTTATACTTTTTTTTGTGAACCCTTGTAATAGTCCATATTTGATTTGAATTAAAATAAATTTTTAAATAAATTTTAATAAAAATTAATTGAATTCGTGATTGAAAAATTCATAAAAGTGGTGAATTTCGTTGAATATGTAGTTGCAAATAAGTTTATGAAAAAAAATTATTAAATGAGGGCCAAAGTAAGTTTTTTATTTGTTAAATTTAGAAATAAATAAATAAATTATTTTTTATTAGTTGAATTTAAAATTAAGATCCACACCACACCATCAGCTTTTTATTTATTTATATGAATTGTTCTATTATTGTTGCTAGAAGAAAAAAAAATATTATTACAAATTAAAATGATAAAAACAAATGTTTTGACTTATGAATATAAAAAAAAGTTATTTAAAAATAAATTAAAATTATCAGTGGAAAATTAAAAATAAAAACAGTTGCTAGGTGAACTGTTCAACGCACCTCCTTTTCGCTGTAGAATCTCATCTCCTCCGCCGTCTAAACTCAACGGCAGCCACTTTTCCATGATTACCTCCGTCCGAATCGCTGTCGTCGGCAACGTTGTAATCTCTTATTTTCTCTCTCTTATAGACAGTCACTCACACATTCTTATACTTCAATACTCGATTTATACGTATACATGTTTCCCCATATATGCGTATACAAATATATGATTAATTTGAGTTTTTAAAGCTACAATAGAATTCATGATTGGTATAAAAAATGATGAATTTTCTGACATTTTAATCGATGCATTATGTTTAATTTTGGCAAATTTGGGTTTTTTTTGAAGCATGATGATTGGAATCTGGAAGAAGATGCTAAGGCGCTACAACTATTAACGGTAGGTTTTTTTTTTTCCCCAATTTCGTTTTCTTCCTCCAACAATTTGTTTTGCTTGCATTGCATGTATAGTAATTTATATTTTAAGGGAAAATATTCGCTAAATTTTGTGCTATTCTGTGTACTAATAATAAAGAAAGGTTAGAGAGTTTGGTTTATATTTCTTCTAGTTTTCTCAAGTAGTCATTTTGTTTGAAAATTTTTGGATTTCTGATACATATCTGTGGAGGGAAAATGTACACCTCTGGGAAGAATGATTGAGAAATAAGTGAGATTCTACTGATATTATGTCTGGAAGATTGGTTGCCAAAGCTATTTGTTTAGTAGAAATTGTTAGGGTTATATAGGAAGGAAAGAGAGGCGTCTGTATAGTTTTTACTACTTTCAAAAAAAAAAAATTATTATTTAGTTCTCATTGATTGTAAAAAAGCTAATGACATAATAGAAATGTTTTATGGTGGGCATTGAAAACTTTATGCATCCTGCACATAATATTATTCTAAATGCCTCTTATGTCTCTTCTGATATTCAGTATTGTGTAATAATGCAGGATCTGGTGCTCTACACAGGCAGGTGACGATGTTTATCCACTAATTTGCAGGCCTGCTTTCTCTTTGTACTTCCTTCTACTTAAATAGATTCGTCAATTGTCAGGATGTGATGAATTGAAGTCATGAGTTCATCCGTTGCTTTTGTGGATTTGGGTAATGACGGTCTCCGAATCTTCGGCGAAGAAATTGAAGAATTGTGGATTTGGGTAATGACAGTTACGATGGTTCACCAATTTTCGATGAAACCCCTGACATCGAAATTTTCAAGGTGTCGTCACAGAAATTCCAAGCCAGTTCTCAAGGCGTTCAACTACTAGCAAACAATGATAGAAACTTCATGCATCCACTATTGGTTGTTGCAGGTGATTATTTATTTCCACTTATAATAGATGGAAGAGATCAAGATTTGCTTGACAATACAATGGAGAATTTTTATAGTTTACACATTAATTTTTTTTCTTTTAACTTCTGATGATATCAGATCCGTAGAATTTTTATTTATTTATTTATTTATTTATTTTCCACTTCCAAGCTACAGAAGGATCTTGGTTGACTTGATTTATTATATATGGTAATACAAGAAGGAAATGAGAATTGTAATTTGGGAACAACAAATGCTTTTTCCTTGAACTTGTTGAGTGCAATATTTCCACTAAGTGGCGTTCGGTGAAACTAAAGATAATGACAAAAATTATATGCCCAAATATTCAGAATTAATTCCAAATAAATGGAATTAACATCCGAATTTATTATACTAACTAAAGGATACATATTTAGCCCCTATTTGAGACCATTTTTCAGGGAAATGTGTTTTGAAATAGTGAATTTGTAGAGAATGTGTGGTTAGAAATGAGGAAAAAGTTTTAGGTTTACGTGTAAAATTATATTATTGGAAAATATGTGGTTGAAAATGAGTTTTGGAAAAAATGGGGGTAAAACAGAGGCTTAGCAGAATGGATGTAGAAATAGTAACCTCATTAAATCTTTTGAAGGAAAGTCTAAATTGTAAGTGCTGGAAACAAAAATTTCCAGCTGTGTGTTAGTAAAAGCAATTGGGTACAAGGGAATGTGATAACTTGCATACTTACCAGCTTAATGCTTAATGACTGATATGTGAATTTGTATTATTTTGAAATCATATAAATTGAGAAGGTGAATCTTCAGCATGGGGGCTGTGTTTTAAATTAAAATTCACTAGGTGAGAGGGTGGGATTAGGTTTTATGACTTGTAGCTACTATTACGATAAAGTTCCCAGTCCATCTTGCCTTGGTCTACTGGATAAGTTGTACCTTAGTAGTTAAATTTTTGTTAGGGTTAGTGAAGGTGTACGTAGCATGATCTGGTCTATCTCAGAGTTCATGTAAAGCAATGTTGGTCTTCTCAATCCTAATATAATCTAATATTACTCGAACCTCAACCCAGGAAGCTTAAATCTCTTTTAGATCAGCTCGTCAGCATTCATAACTACTGCTCCAAGCTTTTTATTTAATTTAGTTAATTTTTGCTGGGGTTTTATTATTTGTTATCTATTCTTTTATGTAGACAATACAAAAATCGTCATTTGAATACATAGTAGGGTTGGCTAGCTTGGGAGTGCAAAAATGGCTGTAAAGTAACTGTTTTTAAACCGTCAGGTGGATACTGCCATTAAACCTAGTAATACTCTATTCTGATAAAAAAAAAAAAAACTGGAATATACTTGATTTCTTTCTGTTATATTTCATGTCATGTGTATCATGCTTATTCTAGTCATGGCCTTATTGAAGATGACAGAGAACATTTACAGATGTGCCCTAACTTAGCTATGTTCTTCGGCATATGACAATCTATGACTAAATTAAACGGTCGCTACACATTCTGTGGCTAATTACTATACACTTAATGCTACCAGTCTTGGTGATGAGCATGTTGGTTCGACGGATGGACTTTCCAAATTTAAAGTTTGGTATTTTTGGTGGATGGCCTTTTCATGTGGCGGTGAACAATTATATTGGAAAAAGCTTCTTACTTCAAGGTTAGTAGTCTTTAATGCCGGTACAGATTTTTTGTACTCTATCCATTCAATCTCACTCGATCATCCTTTGACTGGAAGCCGTGGAAGAATGTTCATTTGTTAATTTCCCAGAAGTGAAAGAGTGGTGTCGGTGTACAAGAATGTAGTTAAAACATAAAATGTCTATCGTGATCCTAAGAGTAGGTAATATATACAACATTTAAGCAACCTCCTGCAATAGTCAGGCTTAGGGATTTATGCGAGCAACAACCAAAAGTTGGATGAAAAAAGTAGAGTGTCAAATGAACAAAAAAAACACCATGGATTTGAAACTCATGTCATTTCGTGACATGAGAGTTAGTACTTCAAGTTTCTCTTTCTCTAGACTACCTTAATAAGAAAGGAGAGTTAAATGTAATTTAGAAATGAGAAACGCAACAAGGTAATTGGAAACTTCTATGAATGAAAAGTATCACTCTCTTTTTTGCTAGATAAATGGAATATATATTCACTGTGAAATATTCTAAGTGAATTTACAATGCGTCTAATAACCTTCAACCATCGCACTGATCTATCTAGATGAGGGCACAATGACGCTATCTTTCTATGCATATGCTATACATCAATTGGCTCAAGTCCCTTCAACTACCTTTATGTGCGTGGGCAGCATGAAGATGCTATAAATTGATCATGAAATTATTGAACAGGTGCGATTTTGCTAAATTCTCCCTAATAAAATAGGCTCAGTAACCTAATTTCTTTGTGATCGTTTGAGTAAAAACGATATAAGATGTAAAACTTAATTAAAACATGTAAAAACTATATGACCATTAATTTAAAGACACTTAGACATCCACCTTGCAATTCTGATTTTTCCCATCTTAGTGTTGATAGGATTGCAATTAACCACATTGCAATTATTGTATCAGATATGGCATCCATGACATGAATGAAAGTGCAAAGAGGATTTATCAAAATGTTTTTAAGGACTCCAGAGGATCATTTATTTGTGTTCCTTGCTCATAACAGGCCAACAGTTACATCAATCTGTGAAGCAAAATGTAGTTTTTTTTTTTTTTGGTGCAAACTTAATGCGGATGATCTTGCCTTACATTGATTTAACGAGTAATATAATGCAGGGCTAGGTTCCCATGTGGATGATATCTGTGGAAGCAATTGGGTTTTTCAAGGCGGTGAACAAGGTGATCCAGGTGATGCTTCTAAATGAACTGTAGCTTCCTGTGGTAATTTATTCTCTCATCTCGAATGCATTTTTTTTCTGCACGTTGGTGATAATATTCCATATACGATGATTGAACATGCTATTTATTGTACAGATTTAGCAAATGCAATATCCCTATTAAAAGAAACCACCAA